GAAAAAAAAAAAAAAAAAAAAAAAAAAAAGGCGCCGACAGCCTGTTTTCCTCCAGCAAAAAGAAAACCCTGCAAGCCACGCCTTTCCCTCTCCTGGCCTCCCGAGGACGGGGAAGGACTGAAGTTGTAGCTGTTTTTGCACTAAGTGGGGTGAAAACAAGAGTCGATCAGGAATTTAACAAGGGTATGCAGGAGCTGTTGTTACAGTTCTTTAAAGCCCTTCGTTTCGTCTCTTACTTAATTTAAAAAGTTACCAGTGCTTTGGCGAAAAATGTAAACTACCATGACAAGTAAGGTCAAGTGAAAGACCGAGACCTCTCCCCGCCTCTCCCACCATTAAGTTTAGTGTCTTTGTAGACTTTTTAAAGCATGTATACATACATACTCGAAGCTAAATATAGAATCATAGATGTCAGTTTGTCCAGGTTTTTTAATACCTACATTTAGGCATGTTTTTCTCCGAAAATGACTTATGCAACTTGCTGTTTTTAATTCATATTATCACACATTTTTCTGTGTACGAAACCTAGTTCAACCTCATTGTTTGAGGGTTTTTTTGTTTGTTTTTGTTTTTGTTTTGTAAAAGTAACTGCTCTGTCTCTTGGGCCATTTCAACTGTCTTGCATTTCTTCTTGGTGCTGCTTATTTTGTAGAACAAGAGCTCATTTTTAAATTAAAAATAATCCAACAGAATTCAGGCTTGGAACTCAAGTCAGTAAAATGAGTGATTTAATTTGGTCTTCTGCCCTGCTACTAATCAGGTTTAAAATAGCGTATTCAAATAAGGGTTTGAATCAGTGTTTGGACTATGGGGTTTAAGGCAACTTTAATAAAGTGCTTTGCTTTTAACCCCTCCTCATATAATGCTTATTAATTCCCCCAGCCCAGTTGTTTCGCCCCGGCGGCGGCGGCGGGGCCGGTCCGGTGTCCCCGCAGCACCACGAACTAACCTCGCTCTTCGAGTGCCCAGTCTGCTTTGACTATGTCCTGCCCCCCATCCTGCAGTGCCAGGCCGGGCACCTGGTGTGTAACCAATGCCGCCAGAAGTTGAGCTGCTGCCCGACGTGCAGGGGGGCCCTGACGCCCAGCATCAGGAACCTGGCTATGGAGAAGGTGGCCTCGGCAGTCCTGTTTCCCTGCAAGGTAAGCCCAGGGACAACCTGCGCACCTCCGCCCAGCGACCTTCTGGAACTCCGGTGCCCTCCACCCCACTCGCAGGCCCTGAGGGGCGGGTGGTGTCTCGTTTAAAAAAACAGAAAAACAATGTTTACTCTTTGTCCACCCTTCCGCATGCCCCCCTGTCCACTTTGAAAGTAGCTCTGGGTTGACATTTGCCCTGGCACTGACTCCAGATGAACTGGCACTCGCTGGTCGTTGGAACACTTCGTAGCTCTCCCGGCCCTGTGCCTGAGTCCCCTGCAGACGTGTACTCGAGTGTGCTGGGCGGGGCTGGGCCGCGCAAGTAAAACTTGGCCCGGGAAGCTGCCTATCTATGGGATTGAGGGAGAAGGTGGGCGAGCTAAACGCACCCTTTACCAGCAGTGGGCTTGGCGGGATTGGTAGTAGATTCCTCCTGCCCCCCGCGCCTACCGTGTGCGCACCCCTGACACGTGGGAGCTCTCGGGAGTGTAGCTAAAAAAAAAAAAAAAAAAAAAAAAAAAAGGCGCCGACAGCCTGTTTTCCTCCAGCAAAAAGAAAACCCTGCAAGCCACGCCTTTCCCTCTCCTGGCCTCCCGAGGACGGGGAAGGACTGAAGTTGTAGCTGTTTTTGCACTAAGTGGGGTGAAAACAAGAGTCGATCAGGAATTTAACAAGGGTATGCAGGAGCTGTTGTTACAGTTCTTTAAAGCCCTTCGTTTCGTCTCTTACTTAATTTAAAAAGTTACCAGTGCTTTGGCGAAAAATGTAAACTACCATGACAAGTAAGGTCAAGTGAAAGACCGAGACCTCTCCCCGCCTCTCCCACCATTAAGTTTAGTGTCTTTGTAGACTTTTTAAAGCATGTATACATACATACTCGAAGCTAAATATAGAATCATAGATGTCAGTTTGTCCAGGTTTTTTAATACCTACATTTAGGCATGTTTTTCTCCGAAAATGACTTATGCAACTTGCTGTTTTTAATTCATATTATCACACATTTTTCTGTGTACGAAACCTAGTTCAACCTCATTGTTTGAGGGTTTTTTTGTTTGTTTTTGTTTTTGTTTTGTAAAAGTAACTGCTCTGTCTCTTGGGCCATTTCAACTGTCTTGCATTTCTTCTTGGTGCTGCTTATTTTGTAGAACAAGAGCTCATTTTTAAATTAAAAATAATCCAACAGAATTCAGGCTTGGAACTCAAGTCAGTAAAATGAGTGATTTAATTTGGTCTTCTGCCCTGCTACTAATCAGGTTTAAAATAGCGTATTCAAATAAGGGTTTGAATCAGTGTTTGGACTATGGGGTTTAAGGCAACTTTAATAAAGTGCTTTGCTTTTAACCCCTCCTCATATAATGCTTATTAATTCCCCCAGCCCAGTTGTTTCTCGTAAAATTTAGATAAACTATTTCCATAGTTTTCTTGGAGTCATGAAGAAGGTGGCTGCCTGGTGATCAGAGAAGATTTGGTGACAGTTGACAAACAGTGGATATATGATGTTTCAGATATATTGCAGGGGTGGGGGGATGGCCCACAGGGCTTCTGGGGAGCCATGTTCACACCCCTTCACTTTCCCCTAAACCTTCAGTGGCTAATAGAAGAAATGGCTTCAGGTGAATTATAGTTCACAAGTGATCATTTGATATTAGTCAGTATTCCATAATTTATTTTTAAAAAGCAGTTTGATAAGAGAATTGTGTTGTTTCCAAGAGAAAGGGAAGGAAACAGTTATAACATGCTATAGGGAGTGTGAAGTTTCACTTTCAGGATCCGGAACTCTGGTTCCTATGGAAGCATATGTTCTTTCCTAATGTGTAGCAGGCTAGTGAAGTCATTCTTGAAGAGTGGTTCTCTTGGGAATCAGGGGTACTCAGCCTTTCCATACATGTTAGTGATTTTCCAAGTCTTTTCTCTGTATGAATGCAGTTGGGCAAAGCCATCACTTTCCAAGCTGAAATTTAAAACTGTCATCCATTCCCCTAGACCAGGAACCAAGCTTAGAATGTGATCTTGCACACTTTTGTGTGCATATGTGTGAGATTTACAAAGCTAGTGTGCACATACCTCACCTTTGGTTGATCAATACAAACTATTGACAAGGCAGCTCAGCTAGTTAGTATGGATAAACCAAACTTGGATGTATACATAGGCCCAGCAACCAACCAACCAAGATAGGTTCTTTGGAGAGGATGAGAAACAGTAGGGAGTGGTGAGGCCTGGGACAAACTTAAAACAAGGCAGGTCTGTCTCATCCCTTTGGCTTGTGAATGAAGCTCCTGGATATTATAGGACCTGCCTTGTTGCTGTCTCCACCTCCATCTCTCTCATGGGCTGGCTCAGGTGAGAGAACCAATGTTGGGTAAAGTACCAGAGCCCAGGTCTCAAGAGCTGCCCAGCATTGCTGCTGTTTGTCTGAGAGACTACCTCTGGGGACCTTGATTTCCTTGTCTCTAAGTGAGGGATCAGACTTCATGACTTTTAAGAACCTATAGTGTCTAGTATTTTATGAAAAGAAGGGAGGCTATGGGGAATGTTATTGGGTGCCGTCTAAGTGCCAGATACTTTGCATGGGTCAGCTTTATTAGTTTGCCTCCCGCCCCCCATGAGGACTCCTGCATATAGAGTGGCTAAGTGTTAAGTGACTTGTCAAATCACACAGCTGGTAACAAATGAGTCCCAAGGGATTCCCTTCACAGAGGAATCCCGGATCCATGTAGGTCTGAGTGCTGCCCACTATAGGATCGCCAATTGAACTCACCAGACAGAACTTAAAGGAAAGCCTTTTTGTTTTGGAAGACATCAACCAGGAGACAGAGGGTAAAGTCCCAACTGCCTCACCAGTTGTCTGAGGGCTGGGGTTTATATAGGTAAATGTATCAGTTGAGACATGATGCTTTGAGAGATATATCAGGATGTATCAGGCAAGACAGGATGTCTACTTTTGATAAAATCTTAGTTAATCATTAAAGGCCAGCTATGAAGAGAAAACAGTTCTATGGTGTATACACTAGTGTGGAAGGTTTTCTATGTTTACAGATTTCCCCCTTCTGTTAATAACTTCTGCAATCTTGGCTTTGGCTTGTGAATGAAGCTCCTGGATATTATAGGACCTGCCTTGTTGCTGTCTCCACCTCCATCTCTCTCATGGGCTGGCTCAGGTGAGAGAACCAATGTTGGGTAAAGTACCAGAGCCCAGGTCTCAAGAGCTGCCCAGCATTGCTGCTGTTTGTCTGAGAGACTACCTCTGGGGACCTTGATTTCCTTGTCTCTAAGTGAGGGATCAGACTTCATGACTTTTAAGAACCTATAGTGTCTAGTATTCCATGAAAAGAAGGGAGGCTATGGGGAATGTTATTGGGTGCCGTCTAAGTGCCAGATACTTTGCATGGGTCAGCTTTATTAGTTTGCCTCCCACCCCCCATGAGGACTCCTGCATATAGAGTGGCTAAGTGTTAAGTGACTTGTCAAATCACACATTATGAAAAGAAGGGAGGCTATGGGGAATGTTATTGGGTGCCGTCTAAGTGCCAGATACTTTGCATGGGTCAGCTTTATTAGTTTGCCTCCCGCCCCCCATGAGGACTCCTGCATATAGAGTGGCTAAGTGTTAAGTGACTTGTCAAATCACACNCCCCCCATGAGGACTCCTGCATATAGAGTGGCTAAGTGTTAAGTGACTTGTCAAATCACACAGCTGGTAACAAATGAGTCCCAAGGGATTCCCTTCACAGAGGAATCCCGGATCCATGTAGGTCTGAGTGCTGCCCACTATAGGATCGCCAATTGAACTCACCAGACAGAACTTAAAGGAAAGCCTTTTTGTTTTGGAAGACATCAACCAGGAGACAGAGGGTAAAGTCCCAACTGCCTCACCAGTTGTCTGAGGGCTGGGGTTTATATAGGTAAATGTATCAGTTGAGACATGATGCTTTGAGAGATATATCAGGATGTATCAGGCAAGACAGGATGTCTACTTTTGATAAAATCTTAGTTAATCATTAAAGGCCAGCTATGAAGAGAAAACAGTTCTATGGTGTATACACTAGTGTGGAAGGTTTTCTATGTTTACAGATTTCCCCCTTCTGTTAATAACTTCCGCAATCTTGGAGAAGGAATGAGGTTGCAGACATCTTGTCTAGTTACTTCCTGCTGGACAGGGTTGTCAGATTCTAAGGAATCCCCGTGAAGAATTTCTGAGCCTGCAAATGAATTTCTTCAAGAGTAACTGTATATCCCAGTAAATATTGTCCTGGATTCTCTACCCCTCACTGCCCCTGCTCCCAATCCCCACTTCTTAGGCACTCGTAGGCCCAGGGCAATGCTCTGCTAGTCAGTGGGCCACCTGTGAACCTGCATCCCAAAGGCACACATCCTTTGTACTACTCCTTACTACACAGGGATTGTGAATCCGAGTTTGTGCTCCAGAGTTCCAAATCATAAGGTCGACATCATGAACAAAACCATCTGGTTGGATGAGCTCACCAGATGGGGCTCTGATGGGACCATCCCAACATGACAACATACGAACGTATTTCAAAAGTTTGTGGAAAATTAGAATTGAAAGCTATTACAAGGGGGTTGGCC